CTCTATCTAAGACTACACCCTGCCTCTCCATCTAAGACCACACCCTGCCTCTCTATCTAAGACTACACCCTGCCTCTCTATCTAAGACTACACCCTGCCTCTCTATCTAAGACTACACCCTGCCTCTCTATCTAAGACTACACCCTGCCTCTCTATCTAAGACTACACCCTGCCTCTCTATCTAAGACTATATTCTGCCTTTCTATCTAAGACTATATTCTGCTTCTCTAACTAGACTACGTCCTGATTCTCTATCAAGGCAGTGACATCAGATACAGGGATACTAATCTTACCCATTGCGCCACAACTGTGGCAAACAGAATCATTGTTCTTCTGTAAGCAGATCAAATCCTACTAATTCTAGTTGTCACTTACCAGTCAGAGGACAGAGTTAGCTCCAGTGAAGAAACGATCCTCATGGGTAGCGTCGCCTTGAAAACCAGACTTTGCAATGAGTTGAAATCCGTGGTGACTCTTCGAAGGCAGGCAACTAACCTTCACACTGGACAGTGGGGCACAGTTAAACATTCATGAAAACAACTCACCACGTCCAGTCACACAACATGACAACAACACAGGACAATCAGGTCACAAAGTTCAATCAACACACACACAACAATGATGGTCAGTCATACACACTGTCACACTAACATCTGTTCATTTTATTTTGCTCCTTGCTGAACACGTTGTTAGGCCGTACATAGGTACCTAGAGAATTATTATTTGTGATAATATGGGAGCCTACTACCTACTAGTGATTGACCCATTGCAGACTGACTATTAAAAAGATATTTTTGACAATGTATCAGCTCAAATTTAACGTGTAAATAATGTGTACACCCATTTGAGTTGTGATTGTGTAACGTTTTGGTTACAGTTTGAAAGTTCATATTTTTAATACAAACACACACATAATTGTAAGCACTCATTAATGGTAGAATATAAAGTTGTATTTCAATGCAAAGTTTTATAAATAAATAATATGGTAAATGTTGCAAAGGTTGTAAAAGGAGAAACAGATGTTAATTCAAATAATGCAGACCATAACACGCATGGGCGCCCGCAGGGGGGGGGGGGGGGGTTGCCCCCCCCCCCCCCCGGTGGGGTGGGAAAAAAAAAAAAAAAAAAAAAAAAACAAAAAAA